CACTTCTTCGAGCCCACGGAAGAATTTCGGAGATGCACCTCTGCGCCGAGCTTCACGCTGAACAACAGGAGATGGACCTGTTCGAAGAAAGGCAACCAAGGAAGCAGCAGCAGTTAGTCTTCTACACTCAACGAAGAAATGACAACACCTACAATCGACGCAGCAAGCAAGAGCGCGACAACAGAGGGACTACCTTTGTGCCGCCGTTCTGCCACAACTGTCAGACTTCCGGGCACTCCAAAGTCAACTGCAACCGCCCTCGCGTTTACCGTCCAGCAGACCCACAAGTTGCTTCAACCCAAGCAAGTCCCCCAAGGCGCTCTTCAACATCTGCACAACAGACACCAAACATTATCAATTGCATGGTACACATCGACAACTGTGCACCCGGCTCACCACCCACTTACGCGCCAGACGAAGAAGAGCTCCCGCCACCACGCTCACAAGGACTTCAAGTCAATCCGACGTACGCTGCGGTCGCCAACGCCGAACCAACCGGACGAAACACCTGGTTCCTGGACAGCTGCTGCGGTCAACACATGTGCTCCTCGGGACGCTTCGTGCAACAGGAGAAACGGCTCAACCGCGACGTCGTCATCACCGTCGCCAACAACGAAAACCTGAAGACAAACAGACAAGGCGTGGTTCAGTTACAATCCATGGAGACAAACGTAATACTTCAGCTCAACAAAGTACTCATCGTCGACAACTTGGGATACAACCTACTAAGCGTAAGCCAACTAATGGCCAAGGGGATTCACCTGGAGTGCGACTCCTTCTCCAACGAGTTCCGGCTTTACCACGGGAAGGGCGGCCTCTTCATTGGTCGTGCCCTCCTGAAGTCCGGCGTCTTCGTGTTGGACTTCGTCCCCGACCGCGGTACTGCCGACAGCGACGGTATCGTATCATTCGCCGCCTGGACTCACCCGCCGGATCTTGATCCCGACTTCGACAGCGACGGCTTCTGGCACTCCAACACCATACCTGCAGCAGAAAGAACACGAGCATTAGCAGTTATCAGACAAGAAAGACAAGTACCCGCATGTGTCCCAACAAAACCATCACCTGCAGTATCGGCAGCAGGACCCAGCCGAGTACCACCACCAGCGACACGAGGACCGCCAACCGAAGCAGACCAACTTATGCCCGCCACACGAGAAGCTTGTCGAAGTCCCGCCTCGGTCATTGCGTTCTTCTCCAACGCCGACATCTACCACCGCTCGCCCGGTCACCGCGCTCCCGACGACATATGGCACCAACGTCTCGGACATCCTGCAAACAGCACGATACTTCAAACAATCCAAGCAGATGTGTTAGAACGCAACGCCCTTCTGACGACGAGCGGCCAAGAACTTCGACGACCACGCGCACGGTGCTTCACATGCCCTGAAGCAGATCTTCCTCATCAACCTTTCCCATCCCATCACAACCCAAGCGCACCTACTTACGCTCCGATGGAAAAGGTCTACAGCGATATTTTAAACATGCCTCGAGACGACACCGAAGCCGACTTCAACTACGTCATCACGTTCATCGACGCCGCAACCAGATATGTCTGGCACTTCAATCTCAAGACGCGCGATCAAGCTTTCGAAGCCTTCACAACATGGCTTCCCATCGCCGAACGAGAATCAGGACTCAAACTCAAGAGCTTCCAGTCAGACGGCGCACTGGAATACCAGTCACAACGCTTCAGGACCTATCTGGCAGAAAGAGGAATCAGACGCCTGGTGTCCCTACCATACGCTCACCAGCAGCAGGGGGTCGCAGAACGCATGAACCGGACCTTGCAGACGACAATGCGAAAGCTGCTCCTGGGAATGAAACTGCCCAACACACTGTGGCCAGACGCGATGACACATGCAGTCCACCTGCACAACCTGTTGTCCTCGTCATCGCTCCCCAACAACGCATCACCACACCTGCTGTGGACGGGAAAAAGGGGCAGCACAAAATTACTTCGAGTTTTCGGCTGCATGGTACAATACAGACCCCACACAGCTCGAGCAGGACGCTTCACTCAACGAGCTCGGTGGGGACTACACCTCGGCATCGCCAAACATTTTCACGCGTGGAAGATTCTCGACATACAAGACAAAAATACGGTGGCATCACGTGATGTTATCTTCTACGAGCGACTGACGCTGCAGCATTACCTAGACAACATTGCCAACTCAGACGACCCCACCGACGGCTTCGCGGGCCTTCGCTCCTTCGCTGACCATGCTGCCGAGGCTGACGCAGCAGAAGAAGACGTCCCTGGAGCCTCGGAGGCTGCCGGACCACTCCCCTACTGCTCCGTACCTGTTCCACTCGATGAAGATAATCCCCTCGATAGCAACAACCTCGACACCTTTTACCACTTCGCTGACCAAGGCTACGCTACACCACACCCCGTCGACTCGAATATTTCCGAACGCATCGGGCCAAACTTCTTACCCGATCCTGAAGACGGTGATGAAGCAGCTTATCCCGGGAATGAAAATTCCCCTCGACACACAGCCACGGGACTGCAGATCCTAGGACTATGGGTCTCCGTCCAGCACCCGCCGCCGCCTTCTCCGCGCGAGCCATCGACCCTGTCGCAGGCTCTGGGGGGGGAACATAAGGCGGAATGGAAGGAAGCAATGGAAAAAGAGTTAAAAGCCCTCCAAGACCGGAATACATGGAAGTTAGTACCGACAACCAACACCAACGGGAGGAACATTCTCTCGGGGAAATGGGTGTACCGCATTAAGACCAACGCGGACGGCTCCATCGAACGTTTTAAAGCGCGATGGGTCGTACGAGGCTTCGACCAACGATACGGAACCGACTACACAGAGACCTTCGCCCCAGTCTCCCGTCACACCTCCCTGCGCATCCTACTCGCCGTCGCGGCCACGAAGAAACTACCACTACGGCAAATCGACGTCGCAAACGCCTTCTTGTACGCACCTGTGGACGCCGAAATCTTCGTCGAACAACCCCACGGATTCATCGACGACCCTTCAAAAGTATGCCAGCTGGAAAAATCCCTTTACGGGATCAAGCAAGCCCCACGGCTCTGGCAGCAGCACCTTCACGGCCGGCTCAAAAAAATCGGATTCCTACAGTTACCACATGACCAAGGCATGTACCGACTGCAGAAGGGAAGAGATTACATTCTGCTCATAGTCTACGTCGACGATCTGCTCTACATCGGTTCTACCACCGACATCGTCACCTGGTTCGAAGGGGAGCTGAAAGGGGACCTGACGCTCACGGTGTCCGACTCAGTGACCCAGTACTTGGGACTAAATGTCGTCGAAGACAACTCGGCGCTCTACCTACACGCTGGAAAGTACGCAGGCACTGTCGCGAAGAAATTCGGACTGACGCCGACTACGGTCCCGACTCCCTACCGCTACGGAAACAACAACAGCGCCTCCGCAAAACTCCCCGCGAAGCAAATCCAGGAGTATCAGCAGAAGCTCGGTTGCCTACTATTCGCAGCAGTCACCTGCCGACCCGACCTGTCCTATAGTGCGAGTCAACTAGCGACGCACCTGAAGCAACCAGAACAGGAAGATCTCGAGGAACTCAACCGGGCACTACTCTACTTCGTCTCCACACCGACGATCGGACTTACCTACAGCAAAGCGACAACACCGTCCGTACAACTACTCGGATACGTCGACGCCGACCACGCGGGAGACAGGGAGAATCGACGATCTAGGACGGGCTACATTTACCGACTAGAACCCATCGGAACTATCTCCTGGCAGTCGAGCAAGCAGGAGTTAATCGCACTATCCTCGGCTGAAGCAGAGTACATCGCCCTTTGTACTGCGACCAAGGAAGGACTCTACCTGCGAGAGTTACTCGAGGAAGCGAAGATCACGACCCTGCCCGCCTTCTCACTCTTCTGCGACAACCAATCTGCGATCAAAATCGCAAACAAGGACGGCTTCGCCAACCGAACCAAACACATCGCCCTGCGGTACTTCTTCGTCAAAGATGAAATCGCGAAAGGGAGACTTCAACTCAGTTACTGCCCGACGACAGAAATGGCCGCAGACTATTTGACGAAGAAATTGGCGAAAACAAAATTCGACCACTGCGTGCTGCTGACCGGACAGACGAACGTCACCAGATCCGAACATAACAGCACTCCAGAAACGAAGGGGAGTGTTGGAAATATCTCAAAGAACTTAAGCGTTTCTGAAGTGTAACACTACACTCGAGGAAGACTACAAGGGAGCACGCGAGTCAAACGGAGGTTACACGAGGGGGCGGACAAAGAATGCGAAAGGTCGCAACTGGAGGTTACGACTGACCGTTACAGCATCATGGATGGTAACCGAAGCGGCAATCGAGTCGCTGTGCGACTCGATAAACCGTTTCTGTAACTGTACTCTACAACTGCTTTCTTATCTTCTATATATTGCTGTATGCTTGTTTTCTTAATCTATCACTTGTTCTCACATACTAGTACAAGGGTTCAACTGCCTCAACTTCCGCTGCACTACTCCAAGTCTCAAGTCTCTACAGCTGGGACTTAGTCTCTGCAAAAGATCCTAAGGGCTTTTCTCAGCCCAACAATGTAATTGTTTCCTCGCTATGGAAATGCCCCGATAGCTGTCAGCTTGTACATTGCTGGGGAATCGCGAATCGCCAAATCCTGCTTTACTGTTCCTTCTTGACGAACCTGCTGTCCCCGTTCCCCCGCCAAGAGGGCTTCAGGCCTGTGCGACCTCGCTAGGTCGTGCGCGACCTCGCCTGTCCAGATTCCTTTCGCCGCTGTTTTTTCCGTCTCGCTAACTCGCCCATCCCCACTCAAGATTCAAAACCTTTGAACCTTGAGTTTGGTCTGTACGCTCGCTTTAATGTAGTCCCAAACAAGCCTTATAGGGCTTATCTATATACTCCATTTGTCCTCAAATCTTTACGCAACACACCCTTTTTATTGTCCAACGGATAGTGAAATTAGCTTTCTTTTTGTTTCCGTTTGGGGAATACCTTGGCGCCTGTATTCAAAGCAGGAGAGATTGCGGGTGTGGGTGCCTTGTCCGTCAGGACAGGAGGCGACCAGAATTACAGTTAGTAACGGACAGGACGCTCGATAGCACCTTTCTATCACAGGGTCCCTGGAGAACCAGGAGGATCTCGCCGAACCGCGCCGGCAGCAGTTACCCTCGACGCTTTCGTTCTGTCTGTCCAGACGGGACGCTCAATTGTTCCGTACGGCTGATCGTTCCCCGCCGCCTCCCCTTCTTGCCGCCACACCGCCTCCCGTCATCGCATCGCTCTGTCGCATTCATCTGCGTTCGCCACCTCTCCATCCTCCCAGTATCCTCGCGTTCCCGCCGCTTCTTCTCCCATCCCGCTGTCTCGTCGCATCTCCTCCCTGTCATCGCACGCGCGCGCCCATCGACTCTCTCTCCGCGGCAACCCTAATTCCTTTTTGCTGCGCGTGATCGTTTATCAGTGCCTCCGTGCGACCCTCGTCGCAACCGCCCTCCTCCCCTCCTCCTCCCCTCGCTCCGTTCCATCCCTAACGCTTCTCCTAGCTCGCCGCAACTCACGCCACGATCGACGCCGCGATCGCATTGGCGAGGGGCCGGCGCGCGGACGCGGAGATGCCGGCGTACGAGGTGCTGGTGATGGCGAAGGCGGCGGTGCAGCGGGGGGAGCTGGTGGACGTGGTGCGCGGGCTGGCGCAACGCGTCATCAAGTGAGTGCGACGAGCGATATTGTAATGGGTGATCTTGTTACGAACGGTGAAGTGGCGCAACGACGGAAGAGGGGGTGGGGAGGGAGAGAGGGGGGGAGGGGGGAGGGGGGGTGGAGGGGGTGGGGGGTGTGGGGGGGTGGGGGGGGTTGGGGCGTGTGGGGGGGTGGGGGGGTGAGAGGGCTGGACACGGTGAGTGAGAGGGCTGGGGTGGTGGACACGGTATCCTTCTCGCATCGCCCGCTTGGTTTGGAGGCGTGATCTGGTTAGCGAAATCTGTGGGCCTAGGCTAGTGATTTACTGAGTGTTCGGGGGGGCCGAAGGGGGGAGCGGATGGGGGGAGCGGATGGGGGGAGCGGATTGGGGGAGCGGGTGGGGGAAGCGGATGGGGGGAGCGGTTGGGGGGAGCGGTTGGGGGGAGCGGGTGGGGGAAACGCGTTGGGCGGGCGGATGGAGAGAGAGGTTCTTACACAGAGTTAGCTAGTTAGTTGCGGGGGTTCTCCTGCGTTGCCGACTCTCCTCTCCCCTCACCCTGTAACCTCCCTGCAGTGACGGTGGCGTGGTGATGGGGTCAAGCCCTATGGCAACGTGCCGGGCGGACATACGACATGAAGAAGCAGGCAATCCACATTCGCATCGCATCCACATTCTCTTACCCAACCCTCGGGATTCTTTCCCACTCCCCCCTCGCATTTTCCCTGCCCTCTCACCCCCCCTAACCCCTGCAGGGACGGCGGCGTGGTGATGGCAGTGAAGTCGTATGGCACTGTGCGCCTGGCGTATGACGTCAAGAAGAGGGACGGCTGGCACCAGCAGGTGAGCAGATGAGGGATGGGCACGGGGCCATAGGGGGATGGGCCAACGGCGAGACGGAAAGCCGGCAATCATGGGGTCAGTTGCGATTTTACGCAGGGTTGGCGCCACTTTCTCACGCCCCTCCTCATCCTCTTACCCCTTCCCTTCGTCATGACCTCACTCACTTCTCCACTGCCCTTCTCCGACAGTTGACGTCTCCGGTCTCTCTTCCCCCTTCCCACCACCCCTCAGGCCCAATTGGTGTAGCTGATGCACCATCCCCTCTCTACACGCCCCCCCCCCCTCTTTCTTCCCTCCCAACTTCAAACCCTGATTGCCCCTTCCCTTGATCTTCCCTGTCTCAGTGCCATGAGGCGAATGCAGCAGCTGTGAGCCACAACTCCTGGTTCTAATTCTCCCTCTGCTCCTTCCTCTTCCCTCCCACTTCTCCTTCACCTTTCCATTTCCCTTCCCCTTCCCCTTCCCCTTCCCCTCCCCCATTGTGTTTCCCTTCCCGTTCGTCTTGAACCTTAAACCCTGGCGCTAAAACCCCTCAGGGCCAGGTGGTGCAGGTGGAGGTGAACGCGCCGGCATCGCTAGCACAGCAGCTGGAGCACCTTAACAAGGACGAGCGCCTGCTGCGCTGGCTGCTGCTCAAGCGCCGCCCCAAGCGCTGGATGACGTGGCGGGGGGAGGCCATGCAGAGTGCCACCATGCCCCCCCCCAGGCCATGTGGCCCCCGCCCGCTCTGCCTGGTGCTGCTGCCGGGTTTGGTGCTCGGGTCCCTGCTAATGCTGCTCTTGGTGGTGGTGGTGGTGGTGGTGGTGGTGTTGCTGCTCCTGCCGCCGATTATGCTCCTGGTTCTCGCATGGCTAATTGAGGATTCAATAACGTTGGACGTGATGCCAAGATTGTCTCTGGTTTAGATTTTATATTCCAGGGGTTGATGGGTTTGAATAGTACTTTGTATATGTTGGCAAGTGATTTGTAGGGGTGACATGTGTCAAACATGTGTATTTGTCATGTTTGTCTAGACTGTATAGAGTCACCTCTTAGAGGATACAAAACTTAGATATATTTGTGTGTACTCTCACTTTACCAATATTCAATTATTCTGATATGGTATCATGCGTAGGTAGGATCCCCCCCCCCCCCCCCCACCCACCGCTTCCGCTCATGCCCCCTAGCGCCCCTCCTGGGCCCCGTCGCGCTCCTCCCAGGCCCCGTCGCGCTCCTCCCAGGCCCCGTAGCGCCCCTCCCAGGCCCCGTCGCGCTCCTCCCAGGCCCACTAGCGCCCCTCCTGGGCCCCGTCGCGCTCCTCCCAGGCCCCGTCGCGCTCCTTCCAGGCCCACTAGCGCCCCTCCTGGGCCCCGTCGCGCCCCTCCCAGGCCCCGTCGCGCTCCTCCCAGGCCCACTAGCGCCCCTCCTGGGCCCCGTCGCGCTCCTCCCAGGTCCCGTAGCGCCCCGTCGCGCCCCTCTTGGGCCCTCGTAGCGCCCCTCCTGGGCCTCGTCGCGCCCCTCCTGGGCCTCGTAGCGCCCCTCCTGGGCCCTGTACCGCCCTCCCAGGCCCCGTCGCGCCCCTCCCAGGCCCCGTAGCGCCCCGTCGCGCCCCTCCCAGGCCCCGTCGCGCCCCTCCCAGGCCCAGTCGCGCCCCTCCCAGGCCCTCTAGCGCCCCCCCTGGGCCGCGTCGCGAGCGCTACTTCCTTGTGCTTGTCGACGACTTCACTCGTTACACCACAGTCTTTCCCCTGGAGCGCAAGGCCGACGTGCCTGGCGCCCTCATCCCCTGGCTTGTCTCTGCGCGTGTCCACCGCGGTCTCCCTGTCTTGCGTCTTCACTCAGACCGTGGTGGCGAGTTTGCCTCAGGTGTCCTTGGTCGCTTTTGTCGTGCGGAGGGCATCACCCAGACGTTCACCCTACCGGACTCCCCACAGCAGAATGGGGTCGCTGAGCGACGCATCGGCTTGGTCATGGAGGTCGCTCGCACCTCCATGGTCCAGGCCGGTGCACCCCATTCTCTGTGGCCGTTCGCTGTGCGCTACGCTTCTCACCAGCTTAACCTGTGGCCGCACCCTCAGCAGCCGCAGGTTTCGCCGACCCGTCTGTGGACTGGGTCTCCTGGTGACGCGTCTGCGTTCCACGTCTGGGGCTGCCTTGCTCACGTCCGTGCCTCCGGCACGGACAAGCTCACTGCCCGCACCCTTCCCTGCGTCTTCCTCGGTTTTCCCCTTGACGCGTCCGACTGGCACTTTTACCACCCGCCGTCTCACCGTTTCTTTCACTCTCGTGACGTCACCTTTGACGAGTCCGTCTCCTACTACCGCCGCTTCCCCCACCGTGGTCCCCCGGTTACCCCCCCCCTGTTCCTGGTCACCCCTTCCCCCGTAGTCCCTGCCCCTCCTCCTCCTCCTCCCCGTCCCGCCCCCTCTGGTGTCTCCCATGTCACCCCCCTTCCGTCCGTGGACCCGGTTGAGGAGTCTTCTGACTCTGGTGGCCCTCCGGTGCAGTCCTCGCCGGCCGCCCCTCCCCAGGTGTCCCCTCCCCAGTCCCCTCCTCTGCCGCCACTGCAGCCGTCGCCGTCGCCGCCGCCGCCGCCGCCGCCGCCGTCGCAGCCCCCGTTCACTGACTCTGGGGGTGCTCGTCCCGGTCGCCCTGAGGGTGGTCCCTCTGGGGGTGCGGGTGTGGAGAGTGCCGGTGGTAGCCGAGGAGCAGCTTGCGGTCCAGGTGTCGCCGTTGTGGCGCCGCAGCAGCAGTCCCCGCCGGTGTCCGCCCTTCGCCTGCTCGGCCTTCCGTCCCCCGACCCTGCGTCGGTTCCTCCCCGACCGTCTCCTCCTCTTCCTGTCTACGGCCCTACTTTCCCTCCGCCGGCCTCGTCCCCGGCCCGTCTCCACCCTCGTTCCCCTCCTGTGTCCCCTCCCCTGTCTCCTGACCCGACTCCTCCATCGCACGTCTGGTCTCACCGTCCCTCCCGTGCTCGTCCTGCCTCGCCTGTCCTGCGCTCCCACCCTATGTTGCTTCGTTCACACGCGTCTCGTCCTCCCCTTCTGCCGTCGCCTCCTCCGTCCTCCCTTGTTGTTGCGCCCCCCCCGTTGTCCGACTACCTTCGTGCCGCTCGTCCTCTCGTTCCTCGGGTCCTTGCCTCTCTCGTTACCGACCCGTCTGTTCCAGTCTCGTGCCTTGACGCTCTTGTCGCTGCTGTCGCTGACTTCGCCTCTACCCGCCGCCTTGACTACGCCACCGCTCTGGTCTCTGACCCTGCCTGTCCTCCGTCTGTCGGGGGTGCTCCTGCCCTTGGCAGTGACGTCCTGAAGGACCGCCAGTTCGAGCTTGCTTTCCTCTCCGAGGCTGCTCCCCATCTCTGTTCCATGCTGCTAGTCCCTGAGGGTGACCCAGACGCTTTCGACATCCCGACCCCTCGCACTTACGCTGAGGCGACTTCGGGACCCTGGGCCTCGCAGTGGATAGCTGCCATGGAGCAGGAGATGGCATCTTGGAGATCCACCGGCACCTTCGTCGACGCAGTTCCCCCACCTGGGGTGAACGTAGTCGATGGCCGCTGGCTCTTCAAGGTGAAGCGCCCTCCTGGAGAGCCGCCTGTCTTCAAGGCGCGCTATGTGGCTAGAGGCTTCAGTCAGCGCGAGGGGGTGGACTTCTTCCAGACTTTCGCTCCGACCCCGAAGATGACTACTCTTCGGGTTCTGTTACACCTAGCTGCTCAGCGTGACTACGAGCTTCACTCCCTCGACTTCTCCACTGCCTTCCTTCAGGGCAGCCTACACGAGCAGGTCTACCTGCGCCGCCCTCCGGGCTTTACTGGCACCTTCCCTCCTGGGACCCAGTGGCTCCTGCGGCGCCCCGTCTACGGCCTGCGCCAGGCTCCCCGTGAGTGGCACGACACTCTGCGTGCTACGCTTGCTGACCTGCAGTTCTTTCCATCTTCTGCAGACCCTTCACTCTTCGTTCGTGCTGGCCAGACTCCGTTCTACATCCTCGTTTACGTCGACGACCTGGTCTTTGCCACAGCAGACAGGGACGCGCTGGCCTCCGTGAAGGCAGAGCTGCTGAAGAGACACACCTGCACTGACCTTGGAGAACTGCGCCGTTACCTTGGCTTGCAGATCTCCAGGGACAGAGCTGCGCGCACCATCACCCTGACTCAGTCACACTTGGTGCGCCAGGTCCTTCAGAGGTTCAACCTTCAGTTCTCCTCTGCACAGCCCACCCCTCTGCCTGTAGACCACAGGCTCTCCGCTCCAGTGCCTGAGGAGTTGGTAGAGCCCAGCGGCCCCTACGCAGAGCTGGTGGGTTGCCTCATGTACCTGATGACTTGCACTCGCCCAGATCTCGCATACCCTCTCAACATCCTGGCTCGCTTTGTGGCCACAGGCAGACACCGACCGCAGCACTGGTCTGCCGCTAAGAGGGTTCTGCGTTATCTTGCTAATACATCGGGCATGGGGTTAGTGCTAGGAGGACGCAGGCCAGCGGTCCTTACTGGGCACACAGACGCTTCGTGGGCAGACGACGCTGAGACACTCCGGTCTACCCAGGGCTACTGCTTCAGCCTTGGCTCAGGTGCCGTCTCGTGGAGAGCTACTCGCTCCTCGTCTGTTGCACAGTCCAGCTGTGAGGCTGAGATCTACGCCGGTGCCATGGCGGCACAGGAGCTCCGCTGGCTGACCTTCTTGCTCACTGACTTAGGTGAGCGGCCTAGCTCTGCCCCGGTCCTGTTTGCTGACAACAGGGCCATGATCCTCCTGTGTCAGGAGCCTCGACTCGAGGGCAGAGCGAAGCACATTCAGCTGCGGTACTTCCTCCTGCGTGAGCTACAGCAGCGACGTCAGGCTCGCGTAGTACACTTGGCCTCAGGTGCCAACACGGCTGATATCTTTACGAAGGCGCTTGCGCCTAAAGATCATCAGCGGCACTGTGTACAGCTTGGTCTAGTTCCTGTAGCCTCTCACTTGCTAGGACCTTGACTTTGTACTGTCCTTTATATGTATACTCAGACTGGACTTGTGTCCTCTCCCAGTGGCTGGACTAGTAGTGCCGCCCTGCTCTTGAGCTTGCCTTGTCTGTACTCCTTCTGACCGGTCGCTCAGACCCTTGCCTCAGAGGTTGGACTAGTAGTGCCGCCCTGAGCTGCTTGTTTAGGGTATTCCCCTATGCAGTCTAGGGGGTGTGTCAAACATGTGTATTTGTCATGTTTGTATAGACTGTATAGAGTCACCTCTTAGAGGATACAAAACTTAGATATATTTGTGTGTACTCTCACTTTACCATTATTCAATTTTTTCTGATATCCTGAGGGCTAGACACTTTTTGGTGATGGTCAACTCACCTTATAACTTGGGGTCTGGAAACCCCTCCCTTTCCCTTTGTATTTTGGGTTTTGGAACCCCTCCCTTTTGTCACCTTGTAACTTGGGGCTAAAACCCCCTCCCTTTCCTCACCTTGTAACTTGGGGTTGGAGACCCCGTCCCTTGCCTCACCTTGTGACTTGGGGTCTGAAACCCCCTCCTTTGCCTCACCTTGTAACTTGGGGTCTGGAACCCCCTCCCTTGCCTCACTTTGTAACTTGGGGTCTAAACCTCCTCCCTTGGAACTCTAGGCTGAACTGTTCCCGTCCACACACCCACCATAGCGGATTCTAGCTTAACCCTTGGTGTCTGAAACCCACTTAGGGGAAAGGTCGGGACATTGGAGAGAGTAAGGAATTGATTCGCAGAAGAGGGGGGTGAAACCTTCAAGGCAAACACAAGGGCTAGACACGGGGGGATGCTAAACCCCAGCGGTAAGGCGATTGAGATGCAAGAGAGGGGGGTTCAACCCCATGGTTAGGTGAACCCAAGGCAGAGGAGGGGGGTCCCTCTGCCCCTTGCTCAGCCTAACCCCCTTCTCCCCCCTGGGAATTTCAACCGCCCTCCCCTGCGTTGCCCTCACCCTTCCTTGGGATTTTCACCCTCCTCTCTTTTGCCCCTCCATTGCCCTTCATTGAACTAAAAAGGGGGTTTCAACCCTCCTTCTCTTCCGTTCACTCCACTTACAGTAGTAATTGTTGCAGACGCCTCCTTTGCTGCTCACTCTAAATACCCAGGGGGTTTCAGACTCCCCTTCTCCTCTCCCCGTACTCAACTTACAGTGGTGGTTGCTGCAGATGCCTCCTTCTCGTTCACTCTAGTTAACCAATGGGCTTCAGCCCCACCTCTCCACTCCCCCTCACTCAACTTACAGTGGTGTTCGTTGCAGACGCCTCCTCACTGCTCATTCTAAACACCCAGGGGATTTCAGGCCCCTATTTTCTCTTCCCCTTATTCAACTTACAATGGTGTTTGTTGCAAACGCTTCCTTTGCTGCTCACCAAGTGGGCGAATTCGTTGGGGTCCCCCAGCGTTTTGTGTAAATTCGTAAGCGTAAAATTCGCAAACGCGAATTTACCTGAAATTCGCGAAACGCTGGGGAAATTTTCGGGGCAGCCTGGACAAAAAACACGAATTTTCACACTCGATTCGCGGCGACTTGGCGAAGCCATCCGTGGCCTCGCCAATTCGCGATTCTAACTTTTGAACCTCCAAACATGCTCCCAACCCCTCCCATGCTCCTAACCGCATCAAACCCCACCGCATCTAGAGAACCCAACCCATCCACCACCCAACTTACGCAACCATATCACGCACGCATATCACACGCTACTCTACCAGATGTAGAGTACATCTAGCTAATCACTCCGCATCCTAGCTAGTAGATCTAGTTTAAGCAAAGATGTGAGCTTAACTCACTAGAATCCATCATCAGCAATGTCGGACCTCCCAGACCAGGGCCCTAGTGGGGACGCGGCAGTCGATGCGTCAGGTGAGGCCTCTTCATCCACCCTTGCATTCGAGATGATAAGCACGTAGTCTTTCAACATTTTAAGTTTAAGAGCAAGGAAATGAGTTGGGTGCAGCGGTACTGGTGCAAGCACTGCGGAGCGGACTTTATGGGCACAGCAAATGGAGGCGTTGCTGAAAAAGGAGACCCACGACGTGCTGACGGCGACGGCTAAGAGTGCTATTAATGAGATCGTGACAGCGCGTTGGGATGGGAGCCTGGCCTGCCCGCTGCATGTGGTTGGTCAAATTCTTAATCCAGTCAACCAGTCGGCGGACATATTCAGCCCCAACCTGGACTGCACAAACGAGTTCAAGGAGTTCGTGTGCAGCGCCACTACGGGGGGGTCATGGTCCCCCAGAAGAGGGGACCGCCGAAGCGTGCAACCCTTGTCATACAAGAGGGGCTGGCGGATTACTTGGAGTTGAGGAGGAGACCATTATTGTCCGGCAGTTGGTCAAGGAGGGCACGCACACCATGAAGGCATGGTGGCGGTGGCACGGCACCGACCACCACTTGCTCACGGCACTTGCCCGCCGTGTGCTGACACAGCCTATGTCGGCTGCCTCCTGCGAGCGCAACTGGGTGGTGTGGGATGCTATCCACACCGCCCAACGCAATAGGTTGGGGTCTCAGAAGCTGTCGGATTTGGTGTATGTTGCGCACAATTGGAACGTTGTGCGCAACTGGCATGCGAAAGGGGAGGGGATGAGGGTGGTGGTTGGGAACATCCCTGACCCGCCTCTCCCCGTGAGGGACAAGGAGTTGGATGAGAGCATTGAGGGAGGGGGAGGAGGGGGTGACGCGGAGCTGCTGGATGAGTACATGTCAGGCCCATAGTTATCACGCTTTTTACGCTGATTTTGCTTTTTTTTTTCAGGGTCTTCTCTTGTACCGACCCTGATGAATCAGCCTTGAAAACGAAAGAACCAGGGCCAACCAGTAAGAAAACCACTACCAAGAACTGATTTTCAGGGTGTTTTTTTGAGATCAACACTGATCAATCAGCGTGGCCTAAAACGAATCCGAGGGCCTGGTACATGTAAAGGGGAGCATGGTAGGGGGGTTGGGTGGGGGATGTGTGAGTATGGTTAATAATGTTGCTGTAGGTTGTTGTAGGGCTGTTTCTGTGAAGGATACCCCCAAACTCTCGAACATGCTATTGCCATAAACGTTGAGAAGCAATATTTATTTGTGCTATACACTGGCGGAAAGTATTGCCCGGATAAAATCCAATTTTAGGTTCAACAAATGATTTGAATGCTTTCAACCGAGGTATCGTTGAATCTTCAAAGCTGACTAGTAATTAACGAGTGCCAATTGCATTAGGGTAACACGTTTGCAATTTGTATGTGTCGCACCAATAGCGTGGACAAGATTTCAGTCGTGTGAGTGCATCCGAACAGTTTCGGCCAAGCAGCGGACTAGATCCGTTCTCGACTAGCGCATTCTCTCCATAATTCCTAACGCACTCGTCGATTAGTCAGGATAGAGTTTATACCGAGGCTTAGACTAGGCCAAGATGAGACCGATAGATGAGGCTCGTCGGGCCGGATCATAACACTGTTGCGTAGGGGGTACAACACGAGGCGAATCGCGAAGCAGGTTGGCGTTGGGAAAAGTAGTACATGATGTCGGACTCAAGGCGATTACAGAGACTAGTCTTGAGGACGTGCGTCCTACAATGCCCACTGCTGGTCGTCCACGTGTAATTACGAATAGAATTTGTCGTGGGATCGTCAGGGCGATCACTAGCAGTGAGGCGAAAACCTCGAGGCATGCGGCCCAGATCGTCGAATCCCAGCACGGCATCACGATGCATCCTAGGACGGTGCGTAATGTGCTCAAATCCAGCGGCCTTATCGCAGTTCAGCAGCCTAAGAAGCCGCGACTCTCCAAGAAAAATATCCGCGATAGGCTGGCGTTCGCACGGGCCCACGCGGATTGGACCATAGATGATTGGCGACGGGTGATATGGTCGGATGAGACGAGGATTAGTAGGTTCTGCTCTGACGGCCGCGCGTACGCCTGGGTTCGTGAAGGTACGACTCTCCAACACCACCAGATCAAGCAAACCGTCAAACACGGGGGCGGCGGCTTGATGATCAGGGGATGTATGACGTTTGAGGGGGCGGGTTTCATGTGCAAAATCGATGGTCGGATGGACGGGCCGCTGTATCTGAGCATTTTGCAAGACGAGCTAAAGAATACCATCGACTTTTACAAGCTAACCCCTCAGATTTGATCTTCCAGCATGATAACGACCCCAAGCATAAGTCCTGTGTGGTGCAGCAGTGGCTTCAGGAGCAGGAGTATGGGGTCCTGGAGTGGCCGGCAGGAAGTCCAGATCTGAACCCCATTGAGCATCTTTGGGCTCATCTTAAAAGGGAGCTGGGTAAGCATGAGACACCTCCCACTGGTATGGTGGACCTGTGGGAGCGTGTACAAGGGGAGGGAGAAGATCCCATCAGAGGTGTGCTCCAATTTTATCGACAGCATGCCCAGGAGGGTGAAAGCAGTGATTAGGGCTAAAGGGCGGTGGACAAGGTACTAGTTTAAGGGTTGTTCAAGTTGCTGCTTCCGCCTGGAACTAATTGTCCACATGCACCGTGATTGGTTATGTCTGCTTTTTACTGTTAACGATAGTAGTTTCATCAAATGTGAAGCATTTTTGTGTCCCAAGATTTGCCTGCATATAGTGGGTAATGCGTCCAATTAAGGCTTAATGTACAAATGCCCTTTAACGGTGGAAATTCGGAAAATTGCAAAACATGTGGACAATTCTTTCCGTCAGTGTACCTTCCTGTCTGGCCTTGTGGCTTCTCTTCCAATGGTCGGACTAGTAGTGCCGCCCTGGTTTGCTCTTATCTTGTTTGTACTCTTGCTGACTGTACTTCAGACCCTTGCTTCAGAGGCTGGACTAGTAGTGCCACCCTGAGCTGTGTGTCGACTTCCAGGCACTGCCCCTCATCTGGCCTAGGGGGTGTGTCAAACATATTTGTATATGTTATAATAGGCTAGATAGGTGCATGCTCTCAGAGGGTACAACCACTTGAACAAAATCAATCTGTATGCTTCATTCTAGTCAATTGTGTTGGAATGCCTCGAGAACTTAAGCGTTTCTTAAGTGTAACACTACACTCGAGGAAAGTCGTATCGGTACGCGAGTCAACGGAGGTTACACGAGGAGGTTGGACGAAAGAATACGAAAGGGCGAAGGAATTCGAAGGGTCGCAACCGGAGGTTGCGATTGACCGTTGCGACTGCAAGGGTGGTAACCGAGGCGACAATCGAGTCGCTGTGCGACTCGATAACTGTTCCTTCAACTGTATTCTACAACTGCTTCATCTCTTACAGCTCTGTACTTGTTTCTTTTAATCAATCACTTGCTCTCACATACTAGTGCAAGGGTTCAACTACTCAACACTTCCGTTGCACTACTCAAGCATTTCATACAAGTGGGACTTAGTCTCTGAAAAGATCCTAGGGCTTTTCTCAGGCCGACATGGTATGAGAGCTGGTCAGAGACCAAACTCCCGTCAACAACATCCTATCTACAGTCAGCATATAAAAAGCTTCATCGATTACAAGACATGGACAACAAGGGCAAGAATTCGTCTACGGGCTCACCCAGTGCCCAAGCCACTCAACCTGGCACTTCTGGACTTCACACCTCTGGATTACAAACCGAGACCGGCGCTGCTCAAGAAACAACAAGAAGAGTACCAGAAATGGTGACCCCTTCGCCCTCTTCAGGTGTGGACCCGAACCTTATGGAAAGGTTCTTCAGCTTCATGCCAAAGTTACCCAGCAGCTCTTCGCACGCATCGCTGCCCTCAGGAGGAGATGCGAGCCGACGCGAAGCTTGGCGAAACGAGTTCGAGCGAGTAACTCGACTCGCCGGAGCGCACACGAACGACAACGGCGACGACGCAGCAGTCGCAGCAGTTTCTCGAGGCTCCGAAACCGCGCCCACCTGAGCCGTTCGATCCGAGCGATCGAAACTCCGACGCCCGCAGATGGATCGCCGGGATGGAGATCTACTTCGCAGCCGTCGGATGGAGCTCGCCAGTCTGGGACGGTCAACGTACGACTCGCGGCGACACTGATGCGAGGGCCGGCACTCGAGTGGATTGGCGGCAACAGCACTTCATCCACGGTGAAGCCACGTGGCAGCAGTTCCGCACCGACCTGCTGAAACGCTTCGAGCCGATAAATTCGGTTTCCTTGCCCGGGAAAAAATTCATCGCCATCGACAGTTCGGGAGTGTAGCACAGTACACGCAGCAGATGGAGGAATTTTATAACCATTCCCGACCTGACCGAAGGGGAAAAAGTACAATCGTACCTCGCCGGGCTGAAGACCGAAGTCAAACGACAAGTGGCAGCGTCAAACTACGCGAGCTACAGTGACGTCGTTTCGGCAGCGGAGCGCTTCGACATGGTCAACGCCGGACACGACGGACGCACGTCGGCAGTACGCGACAGGGCGACCGCTCGGCTCACCCCACGTTCGCCGACCCGATGGAAGTCGACAGATTCGAGGGCGGCCACGTCCGAAAAACACCAACTACACGTGTGATTTTTGCGGGGTGCCGGGTCATCGAATCTTCGACTGCAACAAAATGAAGCCGCACGCGCAGAGTATCGGGCACGCAACAGTGGCGGAAATCCTTCGGCCAATCAGAAGACAAAAAACGGGAGTCGCCAGTGATTGCGGATCTAGCTGGCGAAAAAAAAAGATCCGAAAGCGGCCGCGGGATTCCGGAAAATCAACTTCGACGAAGCTGATTCGACGCGAGAAGGAGGAAATGATGGGGGAAAATCTCCACCCCACGACCAGTCTTCGCCAGGGAAAATCGCCGAGGAAAAATACGACTCCGCGAAAAAAGACTCTGCCGAGAGGGAAACTCCTTGAAGACCCAAGAAATTATAAGAATTCGTTAAAGTTATCTTATAAAGATGCTTTAATGAAAACTTATGATTTCGAGGGGCTAGAGCCTTGGAGAAATTTCGGGAGGGACTCCAAAAGAAGCAGAAGTGGAGATTATACCGGTACCGGACAACTTGGGGACCAAATTAAGGAGTGTGGAAAGAAGCCGACCTTTCCACGGAGTCAACGTCCTCTCCCGACACCAGCCCACAACGACTACCCGTTCCCCAGGGAAGACGTCGGTGGAGCTGAAGCAGCTCAAGAGGAAGCTGGGGGTCTACAAGAAGCTGCAAAACCCCGAACTCCTCCTACGGATGCATCCAGTTCTTCGGCATCATCAACGACGCGCACAGTCGTCAAACTCCGGGCCCTGGAGAAGAGCCGTTCTCCAAGCAGCCTCGGCCAGCTGCCAGCTCAGGAGTAGAAGCAACGGAATATTGGGATGTACCCTATGACCCAATCAATGAAACTATCTTTGGGTACTCCGAGCAACGACTGCCCCTCGTGCTCGAGGTCATCTGCAAAGGACGACGCCTCCAAGCACTCGTGGACAGCGGAGCATCACACACCGTCTGCGACAAGGCAAATCGACCGACTTCGGGAAGAGTACAAGCCTTCAGGATTCTCTGCAACGATGGTGGACGGCAGCAAGTTACCAGTACGGCGAAGCAGTGCTACACCTACAAATCGGACCACTGCGCTGGAGACCTGCACTCCCCATCACCAACATCAAAGGGCTTGACTTGATCTTCGGGCGAGACTTCCTGAAATTCAACCCCGAGATCAACTGGGTGAACCGCACCGCAAGCATCTACAACAATGGACGGAGAGTACAGCTACCCAACTGGGACGATACAGGAGATATCCCAGTGGAGACACTCGCACGATTCGAGAAGGACGTGAAGCGAACCGACACCGGGTTCCTGGCGATAGCAACAGAGGGGAGAATGACGGAGAGAAAGCCTCGGAACTCCAGAAAAAATCAAGGAATTACTGAAGGAGTTCCAAGACATTCTTCCTGACGATCCCGAACGAGCTACCGCCATACCGAACGCACATCAACACGAGATCGTGGAGGAACCGGGTTCGAAGCCGACCTTCCGAGCACCATATCGGCTCAGCCCTACGGAGCTGACCGACATGAAAAACAGATCGAGTATCTCCTAGCCAAAGGACTCATCCGACCATCCACTTCGCCATACGGTGCCCCAGTACTCTTCACACCGAAACCGGACGGAAGCCTGCGCATGTGCATCGACTACCGAGCTCTTAACAAGCAGACCATCAAGAAAATATCCGATACCACGAATCGATGACCTGCTTGACCAGCTTCGGGGAGCTACGGTATTTTCCAAACTGGATCTGCGGTCCGGATACTGGCAGATACGGATGGCGGACAACTCATCCACAAAACTGCTTTCCGAACTCGGTACGGATCGTACGAGTATTTGGTAATGCCGTTCGGACTCACCAACGCACCGGCAACGTTCCAAGCCGAAATGAACCACATTCTACGACCACTTCTTGGACGAATGCGTGGTGGTGTACCTGGACGACATACTCATCTACTCGCGCGACATGAAGCAGCACGTCGAACACCTGCGACGCGTCTTCGAAATTCTTCGACGAGAACGATTCTACGTCAAACTGTCCAAGAGCGAATTCGCCCTGAGAAGGTCCATTCTCTAGGACACATGGTGAGCGCTCAAGGAGTTCACGTCGACCCCAAGAAAATCGAAGCCGTACGTACGTGGAAGACACCCGAGAACGTGAAGGAGTTGCAGCAGTTCCTAGGCTTCGCTAATTACTACAACAGGTTCGTGCCAATACGTATGATCGCACACCACTCACGAATCTGCTGAAGAAGAACACGCCCTACAAATGGGAGACAAGCACCAGGAAGCCGTGGAGCAGCTGAAACAAGCACTCACGTCCGCACCGGTACTCATCTTGCCAGATCCCGAACGCGACTACGTCATCGAAGCTGACGCCAGGACCAGGCAGTGGGAGCAGTCTTGATGCAAGACCAGGGGAATGGACTGCAACCAATTGCCTACCTCAGCAAGAAACTACACGGGGCAGAACTCAACTACCCGATACACGACAAAGAGGCCTTGCTATCATCATCGCCTTCAAAGCGTGGAGATGCTATCTCGAAGGACGAAGAACAACCGTCTACACCGACCACTGCAGCCTGAAATATTTGAAGACACAACCCAACCTTTCCAGGCGGCAGGTCCGGTGGATCGACTTCCTCGAGACACACTTCCACTACGACATCGTGTACAAGCCCGGCCACAAAACAAAGCAGACGCTTAGCCGGCCTGCACACGTTGCCGCTATTCAGTCGAAGGGATGAATCCACTACTCAAGGGACTCTTCACACACGGGTACGCCATCGACCCCGAAATTCCCTTGGCAGAAAAGCGACATCTGCTACAGTGGGACAGTGACATCGCGTACCGGAAAGGATCAACAAAAATCTGGGTACCCAATTACCCTCCTTTGCGCCAGTTACTACTCGAAGAATACCACGACGTCCTGTACGCCGGACACTTCGGTAGCAACAAGACGCTCACCGGTATCGCCAAACACTACTACTGGCCCCATTGGCAGAGAGTCCAGAAATTCGTCACCTCGTGTGATACATGTCAGCGGATGAAGAGCAGCAAGCAGAAAAAGGCGGGTACTGCAGCCTCTTCCTGTCCCAGAACAACCATGGCAAGTGGTTAGCCTGGACTTCATCACCGGGTTACCACCTACCTCCAGCGGTCATGACGATCCTTGTCGTCATTGACAAGTTCTCCAAAATGGGACACTTCATCCCGACACACACGAGCACGCACCGAGGAGACAGCACAACTCTTCGTTCGTACATCATCTCACAGCATGGCATTCCAACACACTCATCTCCGACCGAGACCCCAAGTTCACCAGCAAGTTCTGGAAGGAACTTATGTCTCTCTCGGACCAAACTCGCCATGTCATCCGCATACCATCCGCAGACAGACGGACAGACCGAGCGCCTCAACCAAATTGTTGAGCAACTCCTCCGAGCAGCCTGCAAGGACGAGATCTCCAAATGGGACTTGCACCTGCCCGTACTAGAGTTTGCTTACAACAACGCTACACATGCCGCTACTGGACAGACGCCGTTCTTCCTCTGCTACGGACGCCACCCACTCACACCACAGAAACCGACAACATCAGCAACAGTCCAACCTGCACATGATTTCATCACAACCATGCATCAGCTTTGGGATCGGACCCACAAGCGCCTCCTTGACATTCAACAGCAACAGAAGCGCCAGGCCGATCGCCATCGCAACGACCACACCATCACGTGGGAGACCAGGTGCTTCTCGACACCCGCAACCTGGACATCAGCCATCTCCCATCTAAACTTCGACCTCGCTTCTGCGGGCCTTTTCTCGTTGAAGCACAGGTCACTCCTGTTACCTTCCGCTTACGCCTGCCAGCTACCTGGAAGATTCACAACGCCTTCCATGTCCAACTTCTGAAGCCCTATCGGGATCCGAACACGATCTTCGTCGGACGCCAACCGCCGCCGCCGCCATCCGTCCTCGTCCAGAATGAACCCGAGTACGAGGTCGAGTCCGTGCTTGCACACCGCCGTCGTCGGAATGGCACCGTGGAGCTTCTCATCCGTTGGAAGGGTTATGATCCTTCTGAGGACAGCTGGGTACCTGAGTCCGACATGGGTAACGCCCGTCGTCCTCTGCATGACTACCTTGTCAAGCAGGGTGTTACTTCTACCACCAGGGGGGAAGTGTGAGAGTACGACCCCGTTACACCACTTGGCCTTTTCTTATTTCCTTCCTTTTCATTTCTCTTTTTATCCATCTCATTTGGTTTCCTATTCTCCATTTTCCATTATCCTTTGGTTTATCCTGCTATTATAATTATATCACCGACCAGGCTTGGGATGTACTGGCGCTATATCTAGCGTAATCCTGCCGTAATCCCTTAAAGCCAATAGCCTCGCGTGGCTATACGCAGGGTGATTCTATCTTCTAGAAGGGTCTATTCCCTTAGGATAAGATAAACCTGGTTACCTGATGTACTTGGAAGTATAAAAGCGCCTTGTACTGATCGATAGTGCAACCTTTCCTCGACACATTCGATCCTGTTGACACAGGAGCTACTTGGCAGAAAGAGGCATCAAACGCCTGGTGTCCCTTCCCTACGCCCACCAGCAGCAGGGGGTCGCAGAGAGGATGAACCGCACCTTGCAGACGATGATGCTGAAGCTGCTCCTGGGGATGAGACTGCCCAACACCCTTTGGCCTGACGCGATGACACATGCAGTCCACCTCCACAACTTGCTGTCCTTGTCATCACTTCCCAACAGCGCTTCACCACATCTGCTGTGGACAGGAAAACTGGGCAGCACAAAATTACTTCGAGTCTTCGGCTGCATGGTACAGTACCGACCCCATACAGCCCGAGCAGGACGGTTTTCTCAACGAGCAAGGTGGGGACTACACCTTGGCATCACAAAACATTTTCACGCGAGGAATCTTCTCGACATCCATGACAAAACCACCGTGGCCTCACGTGATGTGCTTTTCTACG